AAAAAAGCTCAGCCTTTCACATCAGAAGTCTTCGCAATGCCAACTTACTAAAGCTCTTCATTAGTCACTATCTCCTCCTCATTAGCCTCAATCAAACTTTACTCAGCATCAGCTCCCCCTGTGCCATCTCCTTCCCGTCCCTTGCCAACGAGGACGGGCTCGTACTGTAAATTGTGAGTTTAACTAGAGCTTCATTTCATCTCTACGAACTGCAGGATAAGGACTCATTTCTCAGAAATTATAGTCAGAATATTAGTCCCTGGGTATGGGATTACCATATCTAGGATGATTTAGGGACAATGAAATCCCCGTGCCATCAAGCTAGGTGATTCTTCTGACACAAATGATCCTGCAACTCCATATTCGCTGCGTGCGCTCACGGAAATTCAGTCCGTTTTCCTTCCTTGTTCCTTTTTACACCCACCGTGGCAGGGCTCGGCTGACGGGAGGAGCATACTCTCACTTTTTCCAAATATAACTGAGCTCTGTGAACGCAAGATGAAAACCGCTGCAGGAGAAAGTGATCCTGAAACTCCAAACTGTTAATCCAAGGGCACTGCGTTAGGAGGAGCAGGGACAGGAGTTTGTCGTTCTCGGGGAGCCCTCCCAACACCAGCTAGTTCAGTTGTTCTCGTGCTTTTTTTAGCCCAACAAATGCACTTTCACTTGAAAGTAAAACCACTGTTGGGGTAAAGGTGGTTCTGCAGGATTTCGGTGAGTGACCCACTGGCCTGCGACTAGCTCGAATTAATTTCTACACAGTTTTAATCGAACACTGCTTTGAGGAGTCCAGAGACTTTTCTCAATCGTTTCTCAGTAATCTAAAAGTTCTTAAGACCTCAGCAAAAATCTGAAGCATCAGGAAAACAAGGAATCATCTACAGGCTCCGCTGGAAGCCTGCCAAAGGTTTCGGCGCCGTTAAGAACTCGGCCATTCTCTGTGATCTTACCTATTAAGAGGCAAATAAATGATAACAGCAGTTTGGGTCTATTTCCCAGACAATTTGTGCTGAAATTAATAAACTGAGAAACAATTTAGCCACTAATTTTACACGGATTTAAACCATTTTGGTACACAACTACTTCTTCAAGGCCTGATAAGGAACACTGAACCTACTCATTTGCCTTTCTATTGTCAGTGGTGACTTTCTGGATGCTGGATGTTCTCTCTGCATACAAGCAGCTGCGACTCCGAGCAAAAGATTCCCCTGGCATATTGAAGCAGGCTTCTGGTTCATTGTAGGTCCCTTGTGCAAGTCAAGTTTTTCTGTAAGAGGATGGATAAAAAGAAGGTGGGAAAGGTATCAGACAGCAGAACAAGAATAATTATCATGTAAATTGACAGGGAATGTTCAGAATGGGGTAATTAGCAGGAAGACAAAAAGCTTTCATGTCTTATTCTGAGTCCAGGACACATCCAACCTACCCAGCGCTGCCTCACAGCCCAGCACAGCTGGGAGTGACAGCTCCGCACAGGAGTTTCAATGCTCAAATCCTCAGCCTGGTTTCAAACAAGATGCTCTCTGTCTTTTAAGTTGGAAAATAATGGCACGTTACAGCATAGCACCCTGGTACTGTATCACCGGAGCATCTCAAGGTGCTGCCTTCCGACAGGAGATCATTGGGTGGTTTCTCCCGTTAGCTTCGTTTCCATCAAACACTGGTGGGCTCCAGTTTTTGTAAGCTCTAACAAATAGGACAAAACACACGCTAATGCAAAGACCACCTGACAGGCCAGGTTTTTAAATGCACCCAGCAGCATAAATCGCATCCCCAGACGATACACAGAGACAATTTTCCATGTCAAATGATTCTGATTTAACAGAAAAACTTATTTTTAGCTTAAGGCGTTCTGGCAGCTGGAGATGCAGATTTGTGGCCGTTCTAACCACTGAACGCGCGCGGATTGCAGCACGGGGCTGCCTGCTCTTTAGCTTTTAATTTACAGAACTAATTAGTTGGATTTACTGTCTTTAGCATCCCTTCCCCTCCATTTGCTTAAGGAGAAGTAGACGAGCCCTGCGTGTCAAGTCAAGCCCAACAGGATAATAACTCCAGCGCAAGGGCACATCCACTGGGAAACACCTTGGATGTAGCAAGAGGTTCAGCTCTTGCAGCACCGAACATATGTGTCGCTTCCCGTAGAGACAGGCAGACCCCTCACCCAGCCAAGACACATCATCCAGGGGGGTGAAAACTTCTCTGGCAACTTTTACATGTTTGGAGGAGAGGAGACATTCTGATCAGCGAGTATGTTTCAGACCAGGATAAAGGAAAACAAAACAAAATAAAACAAAACAGGAGTTTTGTAGCAAAAATGAAAGTCTCAACACTTTCCAAGGCGTATTATGCTACGAGCACGGAGCAATATCCGTGGCAAAGGCGGTAAGGCAGTGGACTCGGTGTAACCGAGGTGTAAGGATGTTTGGAAGTTCACTGGTTAGCAGCAAGATACACGGCTGAGTAACTACAGAGCAACGTACGTGGCAGTTACCGCGTTAAAATAAAGGATTGTTTTCCTGCTCGGCTGGAGAAAACGTCCTGTACAGTAACACGCAGCACAGCACCACCCAGTTTAGACTTCAAGGTACTGAAAAGATTAATTAACAGTTAAACAGTAAGTTCTTCAACAAGGAATCCCGCAGTTACACTTTATTAGCAGTGCTTTATTTTATGAGTGGGGAATGAAGAGGCCTTCCAACCACAAAGATGTTCGCAGAGAACACCACAGCATTCCAGCTGGCAGCACTGGAATAAAGCTCTACGAAGGCAAGGTAGGGCATTTCAAAATTTCTGACTTTAAAACATTTAATTATTATTTTAACGTAATGATAATGACATGAAATCTCGATTTCACCCTCTAGAGAGCACTTACAGCATCACCAGGTTGTGACCAACTCTCAGACCATTCCGCAGCCTCAAGGCTTACCTCCCTCTGGTCCTTGAAAATTCCGACTCATTTTAAAATCCAGATTTCCAACCTGCCATCAGGTGCCTGAACTGCAACTCGCAGGACAAGGCAGAGCGCAGCCAACAGCACTGCACCCCCACAGCCTTTTTCTTGTAAAGTCTCTTCTACTCTCCACTTCACCCCAACATCTCAATCCCCCCCCAGGGATGTCCTGGGGCTTCTCACAAACTGCACCTCTTGGAGAAGGCCCTGGACAACCTCTTGAAGAGGGCAAGAATCTCTTCTCCCTGCTCCCGCATGTAGGAGTTGCAGCCTTTCAGCAGCTGCATCCTACCACTTGGTTGCTCAAGTAAGTTGTCAGTATTTTTGTTGGCCGTTTCTAAGCTGCTTCTGGGTGGAGCAGATGGCAGATTATTAAACCTCATCATTTTCACTAAGGCAAATTTAAGACCTAGCAGCTATGATAACGCGAGATGGAAAACCAGTTTCTATCTGTACGTTTCAAACTGGCTGTTTTCTGTACGTCCAGCAGCCATTCCGTGACACTTGCAGCACTTGAGACACAGAAAATTTCTTGATGTGAAACTCTGCTGCGTGTGTTTTCATCGGATTCCCTCTGGTAACGGCACAGGTTGAAACTGGTCACTCAACTCCCATCAAGAACACACTGAAGTCCCAGGAAAGGCCAAGGCGAGATAGAAAAAACACTTTGAGAAAGTTACTGAAGGAGATACTCACACATCAGGGTTTGGCTCTGATCTATAGGGTAAGTAGCAACTATAAAAATGGCACGTTTTTAGTCAACAAGTCTTGTTTGCTGCTTACTCACCACCACAGCAAAGCCCGTCTTCAATCCGCAGAAGCGACAATATTCTAACACACAATCAGTTTTACGCAGCTAGTTCTGGTTTCGCTACCAAGAAAAGCTTACCAGAATTTAGTTTTCTCTGCAGAGACTGAAAGATGGCTGTATCCTTCCCCTTTTTGAATAGTACTACTTTTTAGACAATACCAAAGATCATTTATCCCAGTGGATTCACTTACACGCTCCATTTTGGGCCTCCTAAGAAGTCAAAGAGTTTCAAAACATCCTACAGCGATCTAGCTTGTAGGTGAGCAAATCTCACTTTTCACTTGTGCACGAAGACTGAATTCATCATCTGAATTAAGATGCTTAAAACAAATTCTTGGCCATTAGCAAAAACATTTCCTAACTACAAACACAATATGCAGCAAATATTCTTCTGGCATTAACCACGTCAGAGACGAAACAAAGGCAAGAGAAAGGAGAAAGGCGTTAAGAACAGTCCAAGCCAAACCGTATCCAGCTTTATTAAAGGTACTTTTCATAAACAATCATGGTAATTTAGGCAGGACATGGGCTACAATCTGCAACATTTTACAACAACTGTCAAACTCCCCTCCCTTCACGGACTACCAAAACGTAAAAGTTGCTATAAAACCGAAGAATCTTCATTTCATACTTGTAGAGGGAAAAGTTTAGAGTGAGGGTGGACACTTTCACATTTAGCATGTTGTTTAACAACTCTTCACAAACCTACCCTGACTTTTTTTGAGGAAAAAAAAAAATTAAAAACGCAGGTTTCTTAATCTGAAGCTCCACAATATAAAAGAGGAAGTAGGGCTCCTTTCAGAGCCATTCTATTCCAAATTAGACACCAGAAGTCCGGATCACCTGACAACACGTTTATAGAGTGGTAAGCCCGAAAATGCCATTTTTTTGCCATGTTTTGGAGTGACAGGCTCTAGGCAAACACCGAGGATGCGAAAGGAAACACCGAGGGATTACAAACTGCGGTTTTGAAGTCGGCAACAGGCATCTTGGGAGCTTCGATGTTCACCCGGATGCACTTCACAGAACTTAACAGATGTGCAGCACGAAGGAATCCCTTCCTCCTCTATTCAGGAAGAGCCCTTCCTCCAAAAACCAGCGGATGGGGAAATCTTTTCGTATTAAAATTTAGGTTCTGAGAAATAGACTAAGTGACATTTGTCCCCACTGTCCCTCCCCC